ATGCTTGGAATATTCTTCAAACACAAAAATATTTGACTGAAATTAAATAAACTTTTATCACCAAAAAATAAATGCCTAATGTATTTGGTAAGTGACATTTTGCGGCAAAAATACTGCAGAATGAAGTACAACAAAATACTATCTTCCAAACTTCACAACTTTGCAAGCATTTTTAGGTTTTGTCAACTCAACTTTGGACATAAAGAAAAGCTAACTTTTCAACCACGCTTAAAATTGTCCCTATTGATGGAAATGCTGGCCCTATGCAGACAATAAAAGTCTGCATCTTCCTTGAAGCTAACTTTTTTCCTCAGCATAAGTTCTTTAGCCAGTATCATTAGAAGGTCATTCTTATCCTTCCCCTTAACACTTATTAAGTTAAACTCTCTACACATGGAAAGAAGATGAATGTCTTTCTTGAGTTCCTTGGTGTAGCCTTTCTCAAAGTATGTTAACAATATTGTTTCGGCTGTTGACAAAGGCACGCTGGTTGCACCATCTGCAATTTCAAAGATACCCAAATATGATATTATCTTTGATTTTCTATTTGGAAGTCAATCAAATTGCCACTCATCTTTTCGAGTTTGTACAAACCTATCCATAGTGCTGTTTTCAACACAGGCCATTTTAAAGATGAGCAAGGGACTGAAGTGAGTGTTGAATCTTATTTAACATTCAAGAGGGTATGTCAATATTATAAGTCTGCAAAATTTGATTGATGATTTTCATGAAAAAGAACCATGCAGAGACATAAGCCTTCAAAAGTGTTAAAAGTGTACAGAAAATGCCTGCATCTAGTAACCACACAGTTTCTTTGAGTTTTTGACACTTTTGAAGGCTTATGTCTTTTGTTCTTATGATTCAAACATCTTCAAATTAGTTATTAATACACTTACTAATACTGACATGCTCTCTTGATTGTCAAGTTACCTTGACTAATTAGATTAAKATTCAAACCTCAAATAGCAAGGGCATTATTACAAAAAATACCATTTAAAACAAAATAGTTACCTGGTAAAGCAACCACATCATCATCACTGTTCTCACTGTCCTCACTCTCTTTAGCTGCAGTCTTGTAACTATCATTACTTCTAATCTTTGTATGATGACCAGTTATGGTACTTTTATTGCTACTATCATCATCTTCTGTGCATGTACCACTCTTGATATCTTCACTGTCTTCGGTTTCTGTACTTGTTCCCTAAAAAAATCAAAACAATATCTGGATGACCAATTATTGTCACTGACCACAGGTGTTACATTTGTGGAAGTTTAAGGATTTTAGAGCAGATCAAGGAAAACATGTTATTATATAGCCATAATGTTTGTACCAAAACAATAATTACCTTACAATAATCATAGTCTTCCTTGACCATTCTTCTTCGCTCATTCAGGATGGCTTTGACATGTTTTTTTTAAGGCAGCTGAAATGAGATTTAAGATCAAAGTATATTTGGGAGAATATTGGTAATGTTTAACAAGTTAATTCTGTACATTCATGATCATGTAATCACCATCACGTGATTGGTCAAACCAAGAATAATTGCTGATACCATAGAGACAAATTTATCGCCTGACTCCCTAATCACTCCTTATTTGAACTGTCAGATGTTACAAGTTAGACCGCAGATCAGAATGATTTTTTGGCTTACCCTCATCATATCCAATCTATTCCCTTATTATTACCAAGTAATTCTGAAAATTTCCTCTTTACTTTAAGTCCTTCCATGAGGCATAGCCCATCAATTTTTTGTTCTACATCAAAAAATCAGAAGTATGAATATTTGCACTCGTAATATAATTGTCTAGAAAACATGAAACCTTGAATTTGTAATCCTTAGGAGTAAACTTATTAAGACTTTGTACATAACTTGCCTTTGAAACCTTTCTTGAATTGACCTAAGCCTTGCATTTCCAACCAAAATTCCACATCACTCGTATCCCATTCTGAAGAAATAAAAAGCAGGTGTGACACAAGAAAAGAGATTCAACATGAAGGTACTTTTACCACACGTTACTAAAAATGTTATTTTTTGTCCAAAACCTCCAACATCTTTTGCCAAATTGTTTGCTTCTGATCCCAGACTTTCATGGGAAGAATTTACGTTGCTTTCACTCGAATATTTACTACTGCTAGTCGCCATTGCTAACAACAAAGATGGAAGTTTGAGAATGGAGGAGCTTCACGGCAACGGGTCACGTGTACACAAAAAAAGCGTGAAAATGATCAGCCAATCAGAACGTCTGTTATTTCACRAAGAGGTAAGTAACCAACCAATCACAGTCGACGTTACTTAAAAGAGGCGGGAATTTGTTGTTTCCTTACATTATCTAAATCGAAAACAACAATAAATATAAGCTTAAAAATCAAAGAAACAAAAAAAAGTATTTTGCTTACCTTCAACTAACCATCCATCACAAAAATCTAATTCGTCGTACGAATCGTCTGATTCAGAGGTTAGAATTTCATTGTCATATACGTCTCGTTCGAGAACCATGAAAACATCATTATCATTCTTTATAGRACTTAATGTTGGCTCGTCTAGTTCGATATCGTTCTTGAAACTATTCCGAATCCAGGAGTTTTCGAAGCTTGTTGGCTGTGAGTTACTTTTCGTCCAACTCTGTAAGATCTTTCACTTGCTTTGGGAGCTCATCCCCAAATAACCTAGAGGTTGACTGGACTGAACTAGAGCATAAATGCTTATAATCGTGGTGTAGATCAGGCTTGATCGATTCCTTGCGCCTCATATTAAGCTCATTGTGTGCATTGGCGAGTAACACCACACTGTCAGATAACAATTGTGTCACATCTTTCCCGCTCATTAGAGCATGTGGTCTTTCGTCGGTTTTCTCCGTTGTTTTCCCTTCATGGACCACAATATCTGGTTCAATAGGTACTCTTGAGGGTGTTTTCTCCTTGGTTTGCTTCTTCCTGTCTCCCATTGTTGTAGAATATTAAGTCAAAGAAGTCCGTAGTTCGCTCTGATAATAGTACGTCCGCTAGGTTAGAAGGCGATAACGCAATGAGTCCGCGCAGGCGCAATGCTATCTCACGTGATCCCTTATTGTGGTGACAAGGTAGAATCCTTTTGACTTCCTCTAACTTTCCGCTGGAACAGCTGATCAAATTTTACTTTCTCGAAAAGCTTAGGGATGCAAGAGAGGACGCTGACAGGGCGGTAATTGTTCTTATCTGTTGCCTCATCTTTCTTGTAAACAGGGGTAACATTACTCATTTTCCACTCACTTGGACATGTGCCTGACTCAATACAGTGATTAAAACGTTTAGCTAGAGGGGCTGCAATAGTTGGACTAGATATTTTTAGTAGCTTGGGAGATAATCCATCGGGACCAAAAGCTTTCTTTCCATTCAATTTTAGTAGTAGATCTACAATTGTTCCACTATCAATTTGCTGAAATGAAAAATCAAGTTGATAAGATTTCTAATTGCTTTTGATGATTCAGGAAATCGTCTTCCGAATTTTACAAAGCCCCGTCATTAACTTTAGGATCTGTTAAGAAATCCCACAAAAAAGTTTTACATCAAGTACTTTATCCTGGTGATATACAGTTTAATAAAGTACTGTCATTTATCCGCCTTAAAAAACGAATTGTCGAAAAACATAACTATTATATAAGAAACGTGCACGCAATTTCAAGCCCTACCAATAAAGAGTGTCTAGACGATCCTGACAGGATATAAATCTTATTGATATTTGTACTTTCAAAACAATTTGCATTTTATTGTATGTAGTTGTACTGTACAACTGTCCGCTTTCTTGTGGTCTCAGTCTAGTTGGGCTTACATCAAGAGTTACTACTGTCCGAGTTGTTCCATCGTCATCTTCAAATTGTTGCCTGATATTTGTTTCGATTTGTTGCCTTGTGCGCCTCCTTGTCCTCGGAATTGCACTGAATTGAAGTGACATGATGTCAAGGGGCTGAAATGGATTGTTCCTTATATGAAGAAAGGCATCTGTAACATCTGGAAGAGATTTCCACGCCTCCCATGCCGTCCTTTTCCCTCTTCCTAAGAATGATGAGTTTGTATCGCATCCAGTAAATGCATGGAACACAGGTAGAGCATTATAATTACTGATCTTATCAAAATCCATTGTTTTCAGTCTGCATTATCCCAACGAATGCATAGAGGAAAATCAGACATATTTAGTGTGCTTGAAAAACGGGGGCGGTCTTTTTTGTCAGCAGGGAAATTATCAGGGGTAAAGTTGTATACACTAAAATAGCATGCTGCATTATTATTAATATTGCTGTAAACATACRACGCTATAAGAACACAAAACAACGAATTATCAAATATCAAATTATCAAATTTATTGCAATGACGACTATAAAATATACTTTATTGCAATGCAGGCTATGAAATGTACTTTATTGCAATGCAGACTATCAAATATACTTTATTACAATTTTGGTTTCATCGGTGCTTATRACTATCTCCTTACTATCCTTTTCGGGTGCAATCTTATCTTCAAGGGGTGCATTCTTATCTTCACGGGTGTTGTTCCCTCCTCCCTTTTCCACTTTATCAACCTCATCAACTTTTCCCCTTTTATCCCCTACACTTTCTACACCTTGCAGAATATTACTCACTTTCCGCTTTAACGAGGATGCTGGCATTTGTATTCCCTAACTCCCTCAACTGATCGATGACCCGTAGTTTCTTTTATCATTTGCTCCGGCACACCGGTCTCATAAAGCTTTGTTGCACAACTTCGTCTCAATGAATGATTAGTGAAATACCCCTGAAAACCACCCTTTCCATAATTTTCTTAACAACATTTCCCAGAGTTTCCCTTCCAGCTGCTTTATTATAATACCATATCTCCCCTCTGGGTTTTGGTAAAGCCCGCAAATAAAAGGAATTATCATCTACCTGTTGTGGAACATGACTTAAATATAGCTTATATAGATTTAAAGGGCACCGCTCTGGTTTGTCTACATTCCTATATGCCCGAACTGTCTTCAGTTTAATCTTAAGGTGTGCTAGCCCCCTTATCATTGGTTTTGCTTATATCTTCTACGTATTGCAAATAATCTTCACCAGACTCGTCAGTTTGTATCGATAACTGAGAATTGTGCATTCTTAAATTCCTATGTTCTTGCCCAGCTCTCAGAGCAAAACAATTTCCAAGAACAAAAACTAAAGTATCTCTGAGTATTTCAGGTTTATGACTACCTAAAAAACCTTTTTCCCACAGGATTTCTACCTGTYCGGGCGTTATGATGTTTGCTTGCTTAACAACGGTACCTAACCCTTGTCCTGCCCTGTCTTTCAAAATAAAATTAAGAGCGGAATTTAAAGCCCTAAATTTACATCCCTTCTTATCAATAAGGTATAAATCTCTCTTACAGTTATAGTGTAAATAGGCTTGCAAATTGCTAATCATCTTGTAGATCGTTTTCCCTGGGTATTCACTGCCGTCTTCTTTCTTAACTTCTGCCACAAAACGAACCAAGAAAAAATTGAGGTCTTCTTCGGACAACTCTTTTAATTCTTTATTTAGTAGTGGCTCACCGCTGTATACATCATTCATKATGGCCTGGTTTCTTGAATCTCTCCAGTCTTTGAATACTTTCAAAACCCAATTCCACTTTCTTCGAGACGCGTCAGATACCCAGCTCTCCTCAAACTTCTCACAATCTGAAGCTGAAATAGGTTCTCGAAATCGATCTGATATGTTAAAATGAAGAATATTATTACATGTTTGACAAAACTTTTAAGTAGAAACAAGTATGCTGTATGGTTTCGAAAATATAGCAAGAGGCGAATATATCAAAGTATAACGGTAATTACCTTGTTTTTTTCTGATATTTTCTTCTAAATTCGAGGACTCTTTGCCTTCTACRCTGTCATCTTTGTGGTTTTCAGCAGCGGTACCTGGGGAAGTTTAAAAAGTGAGCCACGTGTCCGCATATCGTACGTGAGCCTAAATCATTTATTATCCTTGACGATAAATTAACATTTAGCTGTTTAAAATGCTTACCTGTGATATATTTCAAAAAGTCATGATCATCACTCTCTTCAGGTACATAAATTGTACATGTTGAGGAACTGGGAGTGATGAAAATGCTTTCGTCTTCTGAACCGTCTTCTGAAGCCATATTCAGTCTGACTACTGTGAACGTTAACCTGACCTTAGCTTGCAGAAAATGAAATGAATTTTAAGCAAACGCATATAATCAAACAATGTTGAAATCCCATGGCGCTGTCCGGCATTCACTGGGCGGCATACAAAAACCAATCAGACCATAGTATTAAGATACTGTGTTTAAATAAACAAACGAATTCTACGAGTAAAAAGCGCTCTAGTTAAAAGATAAATTTAAAAACATTCATTATTGGCTTTGTTTCTATGATAAACAAGCTAGAAAGAAAGCAATTGGATTTTGATAAGATCAATGATTATACTAGATATTCACTTCGGCACGCAGCACTCGTAGGTATAATGCTGTGTGCCTCAGTAATTATCTATTAAAGATCTGCGTTCTCCTAGACGATGGCAAATGTCATTTATGTAGTAACATCGGTAATGCTTTCCCATTCCAAAAGCAACCCAGATATCAAAAGGGCCCTGGATGCGATGCAACTCGAAAAAGTGTCCAACAAGAATGACAACTACATCTGTGTCAACCGTTCGAATTGAAATGGTTCTAGCTCCCTTCTGGAGGGCATCCAGGACATGTACGAGAATTCTTGTATTGGCTTCTTCATGATTTCATGTTGACATAGGAGGACCGCTGGATATCACATTCTCCCCTGCAGTAATATACAAATTCTTGTCTTCCGGGCAAGTGAGGTACCTGACTTTCTCTGATACGAGAGCAAACAGTTCTTGTTTGTTTTCAGCGTCTAGTAGAAAATTATTCCAATTTCTAGGTAATTTGGTCAAGTCTGAAACTTTTTTCCTTGTCCTTTCCCCCTCTTTTCACGAGTAGCTTCTTTCACACTATCAGGGCGATAAGTATCCCACACAACATCGATCCTGTTAGACGTGCGTAGTTGGGTGGTGATAAAAGGCGAGAACACTTTATCAGCGTATTCTGAAAACGTAGTCGCCGTTGATATTGGTAGTGCATGAACTATAACGGCACCATCAAAGACTTTGGCATCGTAAGAGACTGGAGGCGATGGCTGTGTTGGTACCTCAAGGCAACATAGTAAATCAGACTTCTTGGAAAAGCGAAGTTTGCCAAAATCTGATAGGGAAGGAGGATATGGCTGATTTTCATGTTGAAAAAAGTCATCTAGGTCTCCTTCTCGATGTTGGCTAGCTATGTAGAGGCGATTAAATAAACAACGATCRCTTTTAAGGGCTGATAACTGCTTGGATGATTTGGAACTTGTCTTTGGCGTTTGGCGCTTGAAAAGAGCTAAGGATGTTTTCTTGATCGGGTTGTGAATAGACACAGCTCTGTCCTTGATGACATCTGTAACATATTTCTTATACTGTGAAGTTCCACTTTCTTCTATGGTGCGCACGGTAGTTAAAACTGATTCATCTGCACAGTTACGAGTATCCAATGCCACGAGCTCCTTGAAATCATCTTTGAAAGGATTGCCCATTTGAGAAATCGTTTCTGTCAGACTTTGAACTTGCTTTTTAAATGTTTTCTGCGTGGACAGGCCTTGATCATGATGCAGATAAGTGACTTCATTCTCGTGATCTTCATCCGTTAGAAAATTGGTTTCAGACTCTTTTAGAAGTCTTGCCATCTCTGGGCCAGCAACCATCCACCTTATAAATATATAGCCACCGGGTTTTCTGTAAGGCCAACTGCACCTCCCGATCCCTTTACTACAGCATTGTTCTGCTCGTGAGCCTGATCGATAGGAATTAATGAAAATGTTTTATCCGTCTTTTGAATGACCCAGAACTTGAGTAAATCATCCTTGATTCTATCTGGTAAAGACTTCATGTCGTTGATGTATATAGCAAGCCAACGTGAGTAATTAACGTGATCCAAGGCAAAAAACCAAGGGGCTAGAACCTCTAAAATTTCAACAAAAAGTTGAAAGTTTCTTTCTCGTTGAGCCTTTATGAAAATGAAGATCTTAATTTCTAGGTTAAGGATCATGTCCTAAAACTTGAATGTTGGACTTTTTCCCAGTAAATCAGATCTCCAAACTCTAAATGATTCCTCGTTGTGCGAATCATTATCAAAAATGAATGCATCTCTTTGAAGTTTGGACAGAGCAAGAGCGGTGACTTGATGAGCGTGCCTTGTCCTTGTGAGATGGGATACTCTCAGGAAAGAGTTGGCAGTTCCTGCAGAAGCAACACCGGAATCACTTAAGGCAGTTGTTCACCCTGAAGATTCTAACAAGTCACTACATAAGCTCCAAAGAGCCATTTCAATATGAAGGCCACCTAGCATCGCAACATAGACAGATTCTCCGTGTGTTTTGGGCCACTTCCATTGAACATACTTCGCAATAGCATAGGGAGGATGGTCAACGGCAATTACTGGTATCTGACATGGATTCAGATATTCTGTTGCATGACGCAGGACATTCATGCCATGCTTCACCATCGATATTGATGCAGCTTTCTCATGGAATAACGGTAGGAGCCCACTGATAACAGGATGCTCATTTCCAGGTTGTATAAGAGAGGCATGATATGCTGACCAGGATATGTAATCATCTCGAAGAAGGTCTTTGTCAAGCAGCTGGACACCATGGTCAATCCAACATCTCTCTTACATTATGGCACTCTCGACATGTCGATTTATATCACAGACAGTGTTGTTGATGGCAGGTACACACACATCTGTAACCTTAAAGGATAAAGCTGGAACAGTAGAGAAGTTTTCCGGTAGCGTGAAATCCTTAATTGATTTATTGTCAGGAAGAGATATGTTTGGTCTTGAAGTTCCACGTTCTGTTTCTGTCGGAAATTGAAAAACGCTGATACCAGTTCCATGAAATGAGCCATGTGATGTAGTCGATGATGGGTTGTGGTCAATATTGTCGAGGGCTCCAACTGTAAACAAGCCTAGACGCAGATTCGGGGGACAGACAACTCCATCAGATTTGAACTTATTGCAAACTGCTGTTGCCATTCCATTGGCAAGTTCATCAGTTCGTCTCGGTGTGAACATTCAAGCCAATATGAAATGGGTAAAGGAGGCTCTCGATCATGAGAGTGGCGGGTCTTCTTGCCAATAGAAGATGCACTCTTCTTAGCATTGAATATTATTAATTGTGCAATTGTCAGACATGCCTGTGACACTTCTGTGGCTTGAACTGTTATGTTTGGTCCATTTAACAGCATTGAGACTAGACACATCAGACTGGGGGGTATACAGTCATACTGGCATTCRGGAGAAAAGTTACATGAGAACTAAAATCCTTGTTTTTTAAATATGTCATTGCGGATCGTTTTTGATGCCTTAGCAAAATCGAGTGCTTCTGACTCGAGGTCTTGCAAATCGAGTGCGTTTTTTAGAAGAGATTTCATACCATCATTGAATACCAAAACAATATTTCTTCCAACTGACTGTTCCTGGATGTAATCTGGAAAATGAGCTAAAATACGATTCTTCAGACGTGTCTTGTTGACTGTCTTAATTATATTCAAATCTTTGAGTCGAGAAACATATGATTAATAGAGCCCAGATAGTTGAAAAATGTTTTTTCCAATTTCAACGGAGCTCTCCATATATGACACAAGCTCTGTAAACGCGCGAGCTTCTGCTATCTGCTCATCTTCACTGAAGTGGTCAACACTTTTTTTACGGAGTAGTGATTTGTAACTGTTCTTTAGGGAAGTCATGCATTTTCTGTGATACTTAGATTCAGTAGCTATCATATCCCCACCAGCCAGTTTTGCATGAAGCACAGTATCTTTAAGCTCTGTTGCCATCATTCTAACATTTTCATCTACTCCTAGAGTGGTGACCTGATGGAGCTCGTCATCGCCTGTGCCACAAAAATTGCTTTCTCCTTTGTAATCCGAGGGAAGTTGGATCCTTTTTGATTTTCTTCTATCATCATTGCCTTCTTTATATTTTCGTTTCTTTGCTAATACTCTCTCTAATTTTCTATTAGAGAATTTGATATGGCATGTTTTGTGCCACACTGCTCTATTTCTTATGAAGGTTTCTACACTCTCTCGTGTTCCAAATTTTAGCTCTACTGGCATGGAATGACATTCTCTAGATTGAGAAACATTTTGCAAAAAGGACTTGTAGGAATCTAAGCCACTTCCTTCTTGTAGGCTATCAAGCGGGCACTTGCAAGGTTCCGATAATTGCGTTTGACAAATTACACACGAAGACCAGTCCATATTTCCTATAAATTTTATAACGATCGAAATATAATTGGTATAAAGATTTTAAAAAACTATTTACTATTGGCATTCCTGTGTTAAACAAATATGGCCGCTCAGTCAGTGATGCAAAACTCAACGATTTTGATAGTTATAGCAATAAAAATGAATCGAAAAAGGCCTGTTTCCGTTTTTGAAAGAATTAATAACCTTTCATTCTCGGTTTTTCATGTAAAAATTGGTATTAAGTGTGGTGAAATAAGTTAAGTTGTTGAGTTTTTAAAGTATACAAGCTTCTTCAAGTTTGCCTTTGATTACCTTTTATGAAATTTAGTATCAAAAAATCCTTTCTTACCTTAGCAAAACAACAAATATTGTTTCTCATATTTCTTTTGGCGACATTAATAGTGTTTCCCATACGTTAGATATCGAATTTTCGAAGATTACTTACAGAACGTAGAGAGCTTGAAGTCACCTCATGGTATGAATTTCGAGGATAACACAGGGAGCCCAAGATTTTTGAAATTAGCTTGGACTCCCTGTGGAATAGGTAATAACCACTGAACAGGCACAAAAATGATGAGCATTGATAGAATTTATTTTTGTACGGTCAAAACAACGCTGAGTTAGTATTYRATACATCATTAGTAACAGAGTCCTTTCAAAAATCATACCGAAGAAATAAATTTGGTGCCTCCCCTCCCCCATTGGTAGCGTAAAGCACCCCCCTAAACCCGTTCCCCTTCCGGAAATCACTTTGATCATCAAAATGAACATTTGTACAAAAATTGGTGCTTCTTGAAGTCATATACTTATTTTAGGGAATAATTA